AGGGGAGGGCCCAAGGAAGGGTGAGGTGAGGACAGGCCAGCAGTCCCTGCTTCTGGCTCAGTTTCTCCCAAGGACAAAGGGGCTCCTCCTGTGCAGAGATAAGGGTAAAAGACAGGTCGAATTGCTCTGCGAGGGCATGGAGTCCCAGTTTAGGGTGGCCACGTGGCCTGCCAAGGCCGAGACCTTGGAGCACACAGAGCCCACGAGTCACAGCAGGGACCTCCGTCCTGTGACCTAGAGCAGACAGTGCCGAGTGTGGCTGGCAGCTTGCTACCTGTTTTGCTCTGTGCTCCCTGCACAGAGCAGGGCCTAGGGCGAGCCCAGCAGAGCACCGCCTGCCCTCCGGCCGTGATGGGCACTTGTGCGGTGGTGTGTCGCCTGACTGCCGATGGCCTCCTCCAGCTCCAGCTGGGTGATGGCCTGCTCGGCGGTCAGACCATGAGATTTCACATCTGGCCCCTTCTGCACGTTGATGAGGCCAGGCCCTAGGCTCTCCATCTGCGGTTCAGGTTCCAGGCTGACAGCTTTGTTTGTCCTCTTACCCAATTAGAGGTCTCAGATCCCAACCCAGATTTCTTGTTACTCCCCAACAGACGCTCACGTCAGCCCCCCTCATGCCTTCTGGAAGGTTCCTCTCCACTTAGGCTGCCGCTCCTCTTCCCTGCTATACAACCCTGCCGACCTAGGGCTCCTCCTCCGGCCCGTCCTTGAGGCCAGCTGTTGTGGGGCATCATCAGCCTTCCTGCTGCCTTTTTTTTTTTTTTTTTTTTTACTTTTTTTTTTTTTTTTTTTTTTGCTACAGGGCGCATGTGCTCGACAGACAGAGACAGAGAGACAGAAAGCGAGAAATGACCCCCCCCAGGGGGGATGGCCACGCCGCAATCCCTTCTCCTCCATTCTCCTCTCGAGATCTTGGGCACACACGCACACGCGCCCTGTGTGAATTTAAGCCACCGGGTCCGGGACGCGAACCGTGGTTGACTACATGGGAATCCAACGACATAGCCATTACGCTAACTGCTGGTCCCTCCTTCCTGCTGCTTTGTATGGTGATGCAGGCGGTGTGTCATAGCTGACAGCTCTGCTCTTGCTAGTCCAGCACCGGGGCCCTCCCAGCGATCCGTGAAATGGCTCAGCGGTGACTTCATTTGCCGACATCGGCGCATCAGTGTCTAGTACAGCAGGTGATGCGGGCTCACCTGATGTCACGTGGTTTGCTGGAAGTGAGCCTGGCTTACTCATTCTTTCAGATTCTGGATGAAATCGAAGAACATAACATCAAAATCTATCACCTACCTGACGCAGAGTCCGATGAAGACGAAGATTTTAAAGAGCAGACTCGACTTCTCAAGGTCAGAGCCGTCTCCCGGTTCACGGTGGCGATAACCCCTGCCTGTCACCTGCGCTGACAGGAGAGTTTGCAGGGCCAGACCCGGATAGCTTGGCCATGGAGCAGTGGTCTGGTCACCATCACAGCAGCCATCTTGCGTCATGTGGCAAATGTGACACTGCTACCTTAGCTCTCCCGCCGCATTTCCAGAGTGACAGGCCGGGTCTGCTCAGCCCCCGAGACGCTGTCCCTCCGGTCTCTTTCCAGGCCAGTATCCCATTCTCTGTGGTTGGATCTAATCAGCTGATTGAAGCCAAAGGCAAGAAGGTCCGAGGGCGCCTCTACCCGTGGGGAGTCGTGGAGGTGGAGAACCCGGAGCACAACGACTTCCTGAAGCTGAGGACGATGCTCATGTGAGGCCCACCAGGCCCTGCTGTTGCACTCGGGGTGGGGCCGTCCTCCGGGGCGCAGGGGTGCGCAGACTCCCCTCCGCCCTGCCGCGGCTCGGCGCCTGCAGAGCTTTCTGCACGGCCTGGCCGGAGCCCGCACTGGGCCTGTGCTGGCCCTGCCGAGTGAGCCTCTTCCTTGGCCTTCAGCCCAGTACACCCCGCCCCGTGTTCTCGAACCTCAGATCCCGATGGCAAAAGAAGCCTAGCCCTTCGCTGCTGTCAGGTGCCAGCCCTGCTGAGGACGCTGCAGGCACCCACAGGGCCCTGTCCTCAGCTCAGCGCGCTCTGGGTGGCCCAGCTGTCCCACACGCTTTACTGTTGCCCCTGAGTAAAGAGGCTAAAAGAACAGGTGTTACTGAAGCTAGGACACCTCACTAGCCAGGAGAGGTCTGAGATGGTCTAGACAGGTTACTGTGTGGGTCAGCTGAAAATCTATCCACACATCCCAGTGCCACGGTTTCTAGGACGTGTGAGTCAGATGTTGCCGCCCTCAGCTCAGCCATGACCTGCTGCTGTACAGAACATGCCCAGGCTCAGCCCCTCGGAGCCAGCGGGGAGCTGGCCCTGTGATCCCCATTGTGGAATCATGTGTAGGGGCTGAAGGCGCACACTGGCTCCTGTGCAGATGTCAGTCTGTGTTTATGGGATCACGAGGGCACGTGAGCCCTGCCCCTTTGCCTTCCCTGGTCCCAGGTCACCTGGGATGTATTCTCACGCCCACACGTCCTCATGCACTTACATATTTGAAACAGCAAGCAAAGGAAGATGCACGTCCTGTACAGTGACGGCTCGGGGCTTCTGCCCCTGCTGCTTCCGGGCTGTCAGGCTTCTCCCAGAGGCCTTCAGAGTGTGAACTCAGCCTGCTCTTCCCCATGGAAGAGGCACAGTGAGTCTCCACCATAAGCCAGCCCCAATAGTGGTTCTGAAGCCCCGCCTATGCAGCGGCTACGCCTGTGGCTCAGCCCAGTGCTGGGCCTACTCTGCACCTGTGACTCAGCCCAGTGCCGGGCCCACTCTGCACCTGTGACTCAGCCCAGTGCCGGGCCACTCTGCATTCATGGGCCACTTCTTGTGGCAGGGCAGGGGTGACGCCTCCCTAGATGGTTTTCTGGCTGCACTGCCTGATGGCCGCTCTGCAAGGCAGCAGTGCAGGAGCTCGGGCACCCCCTCTCTCTTCAGCACCCACATGCAGGATCTGCAGGAGGTGACCCAGGACCTTCACTACGAGAACTTCCGCTCCGAGAGGCTGAAGAGAGGCGGCAGGTGATCACGCTGTCCCCGTGTCGTGTCGTGTCGCTCCGGGTCATACTGCTCCGCCTTGTGACCTCTCAGCACCATGCTTTGCTTTTCCACCTCAGAAGTCACTGTTAGCAGAGGGTGCTCTTTGCTAACCTAATTGAACCGTGCTGTCACTGGCCTCCTAAGGGAAAGGCAGGTTGAGCAAGGACATCACGAGCGCCTGTCCATGGGACCAGCAGGTGACACAGTGCTTATGTCGCTGGCCTCCCACGTAGTCGATAGTCGGTCATGGGTTGAGTCCTGGACCCAGTGACTTAAAACTCATGCTGGGCGTGTGCATGTGTGTGCCCAGGATCCTGAGAGGAGAATGGAGGAAAAGGGATTGCGGCACAGCCTTTCCCCGCGACCCCCCACCTGGGGGGCGGGGGTGATTTCTCACTTTCTGTCTGTCTCCAGTGAGCGCGCGCATGCGCGCGCGCACACACACACACACACACACACGCACACACACACACACACATTATAGCAAAAATCTTTCTCTTAAAAAAAAAAGAGTGGCTGTCCATGAACACACTTGTATTGGATTCTTCAAAAGCATCCCTCTGGACCCCAGCCCATGTGGTGTTTAAGGCAGCTGGATCTCACTTGGCTGACTACACAGTTGGTGTCCCAGACTAGGGCTTTGAAAAGCAAGCCCCATGATGTGTGTGCCTGGAATCCCTCAGCGGGGCCACAGGGTAGAAGAGGTGTGGCGTGACCATGCCCCCGACGGGGAGGTCTCTCTCTCTCTCTGTCTCTGTCTCTGTCCCTCTCCCCCTCCCGCAAGCACATGTGCCCTCTGGCAGAATTTAAAATATAAACTATCACTTTCTGCAGATAGGGACAGACTTTGCCATGAGGAAGCCACAGTGACGTGTTTGGGGTGGACTGGGCAGGTGGCTTCTGAGCAGTGGGGTGGGGAAGCAGCTTCGCTGGTAGACAGGCAGCCACTATCACTCAGGGCCCATCCCCACTGTCCAGTATGTTCTCGTACTTGATCTGTGTCTGCTGGGTTCCATGTGTGGTCTCTACTTAGCAACTGATTGTTCTTTGTACCTGATAAAAATTGTGTATTTGCTTAAAATAAAACTCTTT